CTGCCTGATTCTTTCAAATTCATACAGGTTATATGTTCTGACATTAACAAAAGTAATATAAAATAATTGTCTTTTCTTTAACTAACTTAAATAGTATATTCCACTTTCTTTATGATGCTGTTTTAGTTGAATTGTCAATTCATTACTGTCTTCCCATACCGCCTTCGTGGTGTAGTGGTTAGAGTGTCCGCCCGGAGAGTGGAAGGTCGTCGGTTTGATCCCTGGTCACGTCATACCAAAAGACGTTAAAATATGGTACTTGTTGTTCCCTGCCTGGCACTCAGCATTAATGGGTACAACAAGGACTGGTCGGCTCGGAATCAGTGTAATGTGTCTGAGTGGGATATTCATGCTTCACTGCGGCATGGTATCTCAGTGAGCTAGCACTATAAAACCAGCTTATGACTGGGCTAGTACAAGCAGCCGCACATACACACGCATGTCCTTCGTCATTTGAGCGAAATAATCTTAAGTATGACTTTAATCCCATTTCACCTCACCTCACCTCATTACCTTTCCCCAAAGATTTGGTTACAAGGGACTAAATAGAAGTTGCTTCTTCAAATATTGGCTATAAAACATTGCCCTAATGATATTGGACTACCCACAAACATTAATTAATGTGAACATTAATGGTCGTGCGTTGTATGATGAATCACATGCTGCCCTGACTGCTAATTTAATGTAAGGATAGGTCCATTAATATGAGGTTTCCATATGCTAAACTCACTGAACAGCCATGAGATGCATATCAACATTTCATGTTCAGCATCACAAAAGGTAGAGTACTTTGTAATTCATTGGCAGATTAACACTAAGGTTATCTTTTTTAATTATATACAACTTCAAAATAAAAGCTTAAATCCAAACATGAAAGAACCCAAAGCTGACGAGACTTGCCAAATCTTCCAGAACTGAATACATTATCCATATTAGTTTTATTCTTTAGTCTGGGAGAGCTTGTTCATTGCATATGCTGGTAATTGGCCTGTTTAAACTCAGATCCCTGAGTGAAATTTGACTAATCTAAGTCAAGGATGAATTGCATTTTGAGCAAATCATAATATCAACATTGAAATAGCCTTTGTTTTGACATTTGCAACTCGGTACACTGACTGCTGCCTAGAAATAAAGCCTTATTCACATGTCATGGCCTCCTGTGGCAGTGTCTTCTGATCTTTCAGCAGAAGTGTGTCTTATTCAGAGTAAATTATGTGATTGAATTATTTTGGGTTTGTTTTCAACTATTGATATTTGATAATGACTGACTGGTTCCTATTACACTGTGTATTTTCCAGAAATTTCAAGACAGATTTTCATCCTGATTTGAAATTTGAGAAAGGTTATTTGTTCAAGAAGTGTTTCATTGGCTAGTGGTCAGTGATAAATGAATTCATATGTCTAATCTTGTTTGACTATTTGGATACTGAAACCAATTAATGTTTTGTTTGACTGATTATTGATGATTTGAATGCTATATGACTCTCAAATATGGCCTAATCTTAAATTAGATTTAAGCAGACAATCCCATTTTGAATTTAAAGATTGCCCAGGCTTATATGAGATTCATCATAACAGATTAGTGTCCCATTCAGTAAAGTCACCTTTGTGTGTCTACTTTCATAAGCTTGCGTTGAGATGCTTTTGGGTAGTCTTGTTCTCAAAGACCTAGCTAGTCATACTTGAGTGGGTGAGTGAGTGAGTGAGTGAGTATGGCTTTATGCCGCTTTTAGCAATATTCCAGCGATATCACAGCTGGGGACACCAGAAATGGGCTCATGCCTAAGGTCTAAGTACAGTTCCACACCTTGGTACATTGTGGTGCCCATTTTTCATGTTATTAGTTTCGTGTTAAGTCCTATGTTGAAGAAAGAAAGTATCGGAATTGATAGTGCAAAGATCCCAACCTTCCTGGACAACATGGAAGTCTGGAATGAGACAACAGGGAATATGTACACTTTCTCAGTGAAGTACAGATTTTGGCACTTTGGGTTGAGTCCCTTCCAGGATTGGAACCCATACTCTCAGAATGAGGCACCTAACTGCCATTGCACTACTGCAGCAATATCCCCCACTCAGCCATTACTGCTTCCACAAGAATGGAAGTCAGGTGACTGGTAGTTCAGATCAGATGCTTTCTTTACCACTCTGACAAGTGTAAATTTTGTAATTTAATGTCAGAAAATTTGATACATGTTTATTGGGAATGTGAATGTGTGAAAACGTCCTGGTTGAAACTGAAGGAATATTTTGAAGATAAATCATCAGAAAATGTTACCCTGACAAAATATACAGTCTTAATTGGCGGAAATAATAACGACCTTATGAACCACATACTTCTTGCCAGTAAAAACTACATCCATGTATCAAGTATTAAAAAAATTAGTTATCACTGGATGCATTTGTAAAAATATTGAGTGATATTTTCAAGACTGAAAAGTTTATTGCCAATAAAAATCAAAACATATTACAATTTGACAGAAAATGGTCATCTCTATTGCACACATTCCCAGCTTAATACTAATGAAGATTCCAGTATGTGTAATGCCAACCCATATGAATTTCTGTTTTATTGGGGGCGGTGGGGTAGCCTAGTGGTTAAAGCGGGCTCGTCATGCCGAAGACCCGGGTTCGTATCCCCATATGGGTACAATGTGTGAAGCCCATTTCTGGTGTTCCCCGCTGGGATGTTGCTGGAATATTGCTAAAAGCGGTGTAAAACCAAACTCAGTCAGTCAGTCAGTCTGTTTTAGTGTGTACAAGTTTTGTTGCATCATGTACTTTGTATATTGTATCTACTGATTTTGAATGAATAAAAACAAAAGAAGTGTAAACTGGTGTGGATTCCATCAGCATGGAGTATTCATTGGGAAATGTGTACATCTGAAATCCCACCACAAATGAAGTGAGCAATCCACTCACCCCCACAGTTGACAATACTTTTCACATTTGACTTGAAAAATACTTTTATTTAAATTCACCTCAGACAAATAGATGAAGACAGAGCAGTTTTATGGTTTTATGCGATGTTTACCTGTATGTCTGCTGTGGGAAGATGACTTTGCTTAAAGTAATTTTGTAATTTGTATGTAGCTCAAGATGTAGATGTTACCCACCAGCAGGTATTCTGTTTATGTATGTTATCTCAGTGGCAAACATGTCATGGAAGTAGATGAAGTTGCCTTCAAGCACAGTTAAATACAATTGTGATGGATATAATTTCTATACGTTATTATTTGTGAAGTTGTCATTATGGTTTAAGTGTAGAGCATGGTTTGCATGTGTAGTAATTTACTTCTGTTTTGATGTGTTTTGCTCACTGGAGACCATGTTTTTCTGTATCTGGGTTGAAATGTACCACCCTGCCTGGTTATTTTAACAAAGCTGTTTTGAAGAAGGATGCTTTTATGTTCTCAACAAGCATCCATACATGAAGTCAGCTCTGCATTCTTAAAAGAACCTTGTATTGTTGGGCCTTGTTTATTTGCAATATGTAACTTTAATGTTGACATAAAAATGTTTATAAGTATAACTAATAGGTGCGGTGAAATTGGGTTTAACGTAGTGCTTGAGAATATTTTGCTCATATGACAACGTTCATGCGTGTGTATGTGTATGTGCGGCTGCTTGTACTAGCCCAGACTCAGGCTGGTTTTATAGTGCTAGCCCACTGAGATACCATGCCGCAGTGAAGCATTAATACCCCACTCAGACACATTATACTGACACCGAGCCGACCAGTCCTTGTTGTACCCATTAATGCCGAGCGCCAGGCAGGGACCAACAAGTACCATGTTTTAACATCTTTTGGTATGACGCGGTCGGGGATCGAACCCGCAACCTTCCGCTCTCCGGGTGGACGCTCTAACCACTACACCATGGATGCGGTCAGGATAACTAATAAGGCTTTTGGGCTGAACATAACATCATTTTGGGAATTTTTCAGTTGTAAGGATAGTCAGATTGTAAAATGAGTGGGAATTTCTTGACGGGTGGGTAGCCTAGTGGTTAAAGCGTTAGTTTGTCACACCGAAGACCTGGGTTCAATTCCTGTCAATATACAATGTGTGAAGCCCATTTTGGTGACCCATGCTGTGATATTGCTGGAATATTGCTGACGGCTGCTTAAAGCTATACTCCCTCCCAGCTGTAATATGACTGGTTCTGAAACATAATTAAATGGAATAGGATCCTGGAAATGTTTCAAACCTGTCACTGTGTATGAAAACATCTTTGGTCAGTATATTTTGTTTCTTTACTCCAAGATAAGGAAAATATGTGTCTTTCAGCTTTGAGAATGGATACCACATATATAGTTTGATCAATATGTGTCTGAACTGTTTCTTTCAAATTCTGCAAATAACTAGCATATGATATCATATATTTAAGCATGTGATATCATATCATGATGTCATAGTGTTCTAGAGTTATGTTCCAGGGTTATATCTTTCCAGAGAGATACCGTGTTTGTTTCACAACTGTGAGGGTTCTCATGGACGAGTGAGTGAGTGGAGCAGAGCAGTGTGGTGTGGTGTGGTATTTTTACGCTGCACTCAGCAATATTCCAGCTATATGGCAGTGGTCTGTCAATATTCGAGTCTGGACCAGACAGTCCAGTGATCAACAGTATAAGCATCGATCTATGCAATTGGGATACAATGAAATGTGTCAACCAAGTCAGCTAGTCTGACCATGACAAGCATGGGTTACTGAAGATCAATTCTAACCCGGATCTTCACAGGTGACATGACAGAGACAGGACTTGGGAAAGTACCGATAATCTTGGTATTGTACAATGCCCACAATGTTGCACTTTTGAAAATCTCAACAGCTAACTCCCTGGCTTCCAGATGACATTTCCAAGCATTAAATACTCTCTTTCTCTCTTTCAAAATCTGTGAAATTGGCAGCCCCTTGCTGTTTTAAGCAAAAGAGTCCACCTTTAACTTTCTCTCATTAGTCATTGTCATTTCTCAGATTTGCATGATGTATGTTTTCAGTGGAGTCAGATGTGCCTCGTCTGTTTCACTACCCACGCGTCTGTTTGGTCCTCCCCCGCGACCACCATCATGCAGCCTTCTACCCTCCTGTCGATGCCGCCGACGATGTGGTCAGCACCCACACACACTTCACCTACACAACTGATGGATTGTTGGGATTTGCCCGAAACTTCTTGCAAGATCCGGCATCCCACCTTATACAAACAGAACACTTTTAATGTTGTAACAATTCAAGGTCAGACAGAAACTGTTATTTGGTACTACCTTCCACAGAGTGTTGACAGTTCTTCTTGGGGTAGGTAAACATATGGTCATCACACATGATAAATATATGTAAATATCTGTTACACAAAGAGAAACAACAAAAGAAAAACAGTTAATAATCTAGACATATTAATTACTTTATGATGCTATGATTCAAACACAGAAGGTAATCTTTATTACTGCCTTGGCTTTAAGGTCAGCGTTATCATGTTAAGGCTATACCAATGTCTTTATGTGTTTTTTGGACTACAATGTCTTGTTCAGTGTTTTAAGGTAGGAGGTTAAAAGACATTTGTCAGCTTTGGTTCAAATTTTGTGCCCTAAATATACTGAGTGGATGTATAATTTGTTATTGAAACAGTGCATATTGTCCATAAGTATTTTCATTATGAATTTGATTCAAATAATGGTATGACTTGTCTGTGGAACAAATAGTTCAGTGAGGCATGACCTAACATAAAGATAATAATTTATTTTACAGTATTAGGTTATGCACAAGATGACAAAATATGTAACTGAATCAAAATTTGTTAATGAAACAAGCTTTGTACACAAGTTATGGCCTATAGTATCCTGACTGATAAGGAAGATGACATGTACAGGTGCAGTTTGATGCTCAGTGGAATGTCTTGTCTAGACTTGATTATTTACAGACTGTGGACATATACCTGGAATTATGCAGATTTTTGTGTAAAAGAATAAAAGATATAAAAAGGAGACAGGAAAGCAAACACCTGTATCACAGGGAGTGTTGTGTCTGCCGAAGATTGTGTTGTGTCACAGATGACGTAGAGGATGTAGTCGTGAAAATGTACTAGATAACGGTTAGTTTGGCTCTAGATGAAGAGCTGTGTTAATTGGAACTGTGTGCAATGTGATATGTATGAATTTATTTATTGAATATGAAAGTTTGAGGGAAATCAAAAGTATTTTTGTAGATAATGATCAAAACATTTTGCATTTATTTTGAAATATTTACATATATGAGCAGCAATCAGTAAGCTATAGCAAGTTCTTGGAAATAACGATGTCAAATATTACACTTTCTGTGATAAGCAGTCAGCTTAAACAAGTCCTTGTGTAATTCCAGAGCAACTATTTTGGGACATATGCTGTATCATATTTAAATTGTTACATACTGATGATCAGGGAAGTGAAATACCTGGACCATGTTGACAATGGAGGTCCTTGATAAATCAGATGAGTTTCGAGTTGGTATTCATTTTGAAGATCCGGGGTAGAATAGGTCTTCAGCAACCCATGCTTGCTACAAAAGGTGACTATGCTTGTCGTAAGAGGATCCGGGGTAGAATAGGTCTTCAGCAACCCATGCTTGCCACAAAAGGCGACTAACGGGATCAGGTGGTCAGGCTCGCTGACTTGGTTGACACATGTCATCGGTTCCCAGTTGAGCAGATCGATTCTCATGCTATTGATCACTGGATTGTCTGGTCCAGACTTGATTATTTACAGACTGCCGCCATATAGCTGGAATATTGCTGAGTGCGGCGTAAAATTAAACTCACTCACTCACTCATTTGATATGATGCTGTGTTGGGACGTGATATAGTTTACATATGTGCCTGTATGTGTAGCTGGAAACTTAAACAAGGACATGATAGATATCGTTTTTTTTTTATCAAATCGAAAAGGTCAGAGGTATAACTCTTTTGTTTCCTGTTTCCATGGTTACTTTTCATATTCAATGCTAGGACCTATTCCACAAACTCTCCGGTGTAATTTTGTTGTAAAAAGTATCTTTAAGAAGTATATTGTTACAGTATGTGGCATCGCTTTATGGAACAAGGTCGAGGTATTCTCCACTGGAATCATAACTGCTTTTTCATACCTTAAAAAGAATAATAAACATGTTATGAAAAATTGTCCAGACTAGAAAATTGGACATGGAACACTTCTACTTCAATCTCGCATGAAATAATATGTAAATTAGTGAGGCACTAATATTTGGCTGAACAGTAGAACCTGTTTAGTATGGACACATTGTCAATCTGTGTGTCTTACATTGTGAACAGTAGAACCTGTTTAGTGTGGACACATTGTCAATCTGTGTGTCTTACATTGTGAACAGTAGAACCTGTTTAGTGTGGACACATTGTCAATCTGTGTGTCTTATATTGTGAACAGTAGAACCTGTTTAGTATGGACACATTGTCAATCTGTGTGTCTTACATTGTGAACAGTAGAACCTGTTTAGTGTGACACATTGTCAATCTGTGTGTCGTACATTGTGAACAGTAGAACCTGTTTAGTATGGACACATTGTCAATCTGTGTGTCGTACATTGTGAACAGTAGAACCTGTTTAGTGTGGACACATTGTCAATCTGTGTGTCTTACATTGTGAACAGTAGAACCTGTTTAGTGTGGACACATTGTCAATCTGTGTGTCGTACATTGTGAACAGTAGAACCTGTTTAGTATGGACACATTGTCAATCTGTGTGTCTTACATTGTGAACAGTAGAACCTGTTTAGTGTGGACACATTGTCAATCTGTGTGTCTTACATTGTGAACACTAGAGCCTGTTTAGTATGGACACATTGTCAATTTGTGTGTCTTACATTGTGTACAGTAGAACCTGTTTAGTGTGGACACATTGTCAATCTGTGTGTCTTACATTGTGAACAGTAGAACCTGTTTAGTGTGGACACATTGTCAATCTGTGTGTCTTGCATTGTGAACAGTAGAACCTGTTTAGTGTGGACACATTGTCAATCTGTGTGTCTTACATTGTGAACAGTAAAACCTGTTTAGTGTGGACACATTGTCAATCTGTGTGTCTTACATTGTGAACAGTAGAACCTGTTTAGTGTGGACACATTGTCAATCTGTGTGTCTTACAGTGTGAACAGTATTGTTTGGATGTCTGTGCTCATCATGTAGAAATACATATATTTTAAGTGTGAGGGTCTGTGACCTCCACCGTACAGTACTGAGAGGACCCTCCACCATATAGTATACTTTCATTTCTTTGTATTTTGTCAGATTGTCTTCTATATATTTTGACCGCCTCCGTGGTGTAGTGGTTAGAGCGTCCGCCCCCGACCGAGTCATACCAAAAGACGTTAAAATATGGTACTTGTTGGTCCCTGCCTGGTGCTCGGCCTTAATGGGTACAACAAGGACTGGTCGGCTCGGAGTCAGTATAATGTGTCTGAGTGGGATATTCATGCTTCACTGTGGCATGGTATCTCAGCTAGCACTATAAAACCAGCTTAAGTCTGGGCTAGTACAAGCAACCACACATACACCCGCATGCACGTCGTCATATGAGCGAAATATTCTCAAGCACGACGTTAAACCCAATTTCACCTCACCTCACCTTCTATATATTTTGTATATTTATGTATTGTTGAGCAGCTGGCTGCTACTATTTATTACAATTTTTTTATTTTGTATACTTATTCTAACTGATATATGACTTATGTATCTATCATATTTAATCATTCAGAAAGTTGAACTGATTGCTGTTTTTTCTTTGAGCAAGATAGAATGCTTTACTTGTGAAAACCACAGACATTTGCTTTTATGTAATGGATGTGATGTTTCAGTGGAGATGCTAATGCAGTTATCAAGCAAGTGAAAATGGTGTAGCATCTTCACCAAAATGTCGCATCCATTGCACCAAAGAATTTTTCAGTCCAAATAACTTGCTCCTCTTCATCATACCAACTTCTAAAGTGCCACTTAAAGAAGTAATACTTAATAACAGTTGAAAACACACTATTCTGTCATGAGGCTTGTCAATCTGTCCTGCTAACGTGCAATAGCTTAACTTCAGCAATAGGAAAGAATCAGGTGTTGCTGAACTTCTTTTAAACAGTATAATATGACATGGAATATTGATCACCACTTCATTATTGTATTCAACACAGAACAAAACTCTAAATCATAACATTTGTAATTTATATGTAGGACATTCTGGCTTCACCGTTAATGTCATTAACACAGATCTTTTGTGCAGATAGGATACCCACAGGGCTGGGAGATATAGAAGCAGCAGATCGGATTTTAATGAGATTGGCTACATTGATCTAATATCCCTAAATTGCAAAGCTCGTGAACTCATTCAACAACATCAACATTTCTCTTTATGTGAAAAATGTTCATTATCCTTTGATGAAAGAAGACACATCCTGCATGAAAACATTTAGCTAAAAATAGATCATGCATTCATTTGGTGTCCATTCTTGAAAATTCCTCTTGTGCAAAATGTTAGACAATAATTGTACCCCAAGCCTAGATTGTTTGAGGGGTGTTGATACCCCTCCCTGGTATTGAAACACAACCCGCACCTGTTGAGGGTGCTCCAATGATTAGTCCATGTGTTGTGGACAAATTGCTGTCAAGTATTCAATGGAAGCTCTAAAGAGTGTACTCTATGTGTGTGTAACAATACACTTTAAAGCCAGATAGCGCTTTAAAGAAACATTATCTGGATCCAGATGATCTGATTTTCTGCTGATGTGATTTCATGTGAAAATATGACACTTTCCTTCGTGTGATTGTGTGATCCCCAGTATAGTCACAGGTTGTCACACACACCTTTAGTGCTTGCTTTGTATGTGCAGGTCATTTCCAAAATGTTTTTGGGCATTTATTTTTATAGATGAATTTTAACAGGCATGCTCTAGTTGATCTGTTATGTTACCAACCGTAACCCAGGGTGTGATCAGAGGTGATCCATGACAAATTACAACTTCAACTCCGTGACATCAAAACTTGATGTATTTTACTCAATTCTCTTTGATTTTATTATTTCCAAGTTCAGAAATCTGTGATAAAAACTGAATCAATTGTACGATTCTGACTTTGACATGAACATGTGTTTGTGAATGACTCTCATTTAGTACTTGGTGTTTGCAAAATGTGAGTGCATATTGCCTCACCTGTGGCACCTGACACAAACACATGAGAAGGCAAGTCAATTGTTCACCTGAAAAAGCATGGGAGCATATGGGTACAAATCAGAGTAGGGAATTGCATAGGACAATTTTTGTCACTGATGCATTAAATCTGGAAATGTCACCCAACACTCTTGTTCTTTAAGAAGTCCAGAGACCATATATTGGTTTATGGCCTCTGACAAAGCTTTCCATTGTTATGTTCAACTTCATTATGTTGATTTTGGGTTAAGATTTCAAAATGATTTCAGTAAGATTTATTTAAATTTGGATCAAATTATGAGCATGTGCACTGTTACCTACTAAGATATACCCAATAATCTTAATTGAAAAGTGTTCAATCCAGTATTCAAGATCTTGTGGACACCTGTTGACAAACATGAAGATCTGCAACTACTTATCAATCTGGATTTTATTCTTATCATGTGCAACTATAAGTGTCCCCCTCAGGTGTTCGCAGGTGTGTGGTGCCAGGCAGTGCTCACTGTACTGTTGTCCCCATCCCATCAGGGCCCCATTGTATTCCCCCTTCCCTCCATCCCCCCTCAGCAGGCTGGACAAGAGGGGGAGACTCACTATGCAACCACGCACAGAGGACATCTTCTACTGTAATGGGGTCTTGGGAATGGGGTCAGCATACTCCAGTATGTTAATAACTGACATCAGTATGTGTGTGCGAACTGCTTGACTGGTCTCTGTGTGTACACATCTAATGCATAGTCCGGTTATGGGTTCTTACAGAAATATTTTTGTTTGAAGAGTAAATCCGTTTTTTTGTCCAATAGGATCTGATTAGAATTAGAATAAGTATGTTTTTGGTACTGTGTTTAAGGATACAGTGTGACTTGGGTTTAGGTCAACTCCGATCGTATCAACATACCACACATACAGATTTTATCAACTTACTGATGTCCTGTTTAACACCTGTGGACTTTTTGTTATTCGACCTAATTCCCCTTTTGTCAACTATTTTCTTTTCAAATAACTGAACTAGTAATACGAATTTTGTTGAGATCTATGCACTTTATATTTACACATTTTTTGTTATTAAGACTTTTTGTCATATTTCTATTTTGTTTTCAAATATCGAAAACAGCAGTAAAGGTTCCATTCAGATGCATTTAGTGTTTATACCTTTTCGCAGCTAACAACTTTTGTCAATTATTTTGTTTTCAAATAACTAAACCAGTATATTCCAATGTCAAGGAATATCTTCACATATATTGAGATAACTGGTTCTCTGTATTTTTCCATACCTGTATTTTTCAACGAGGCTTTAAAGCTAGGGTGTAGCTACCATTATGAAAAAAAGCCCGGGCTTACACATGATTTTTGCTATGAAAGTTGTGCAGGCCCTAAA